CGGAAGCGGAGGGCGTTGAGAGAACGTATAATCGCGGGATATCGCTAGTCAACGTCCGAGATAAATCAGTACTAAAAATGACGACGTCTATCTTATATCAAACGTCTACCTATATTTCTCAGACGTTTCACAACCTCTCTCTTTCTCTCAAGCACGGGCTAACGTGAACTCGATCGCGCGTTAGCCGATCAGACGAGTTAGCTGGCGACTACTCGCAAGATCGACATATGCAATTTCAAAGTTGAAAGACCGGAGTGAGTGAAGATATGCTATATCAAAACAATGAAAATAGATTATGATGCTCGGGGACGGATAGTTTTATTGAGGTGGCTTATTCGTGGGTAGAGTGTCTATTGCACTACTATACTAACTATTGCAGAAGAAAATTATTGCGATATTGTAAATATACTGTGATATGCCCAGAGTACAATTGCAAACTATGATAAACCCTGATTATTATCCTGTACTAAGCTAAGAGGGTGTTTTGTGAATTATCGCTAAACACTTTCCTCAAAAACCGACAATCGATCAGAGCACGAATTGCATTTTCGAAATAATAATTCGAATTTCAATATCTTATATTCTCTCTCATTTTCGACAATGATAATTATAATGCTATTTTTTTAATATAATATAATATAATTTTTAATATAATAGCTAATATTCATTCAGTCTTTGAATGTATGTAACAGACCGAATTTTTCACGAAAGCGAAGTTTTTGTTTAATAAACTTGATAAAACTTAAAGCACTTTAAAATAGTGACTAACTAACTCAACTGTGATTTACATTTGATTTTAATCATAAAAAATATCTCTAAAAAATAGCTGTCGGTTTAAGAAAATGAGTGTTTCTCGAGCATTCCTATTATGTATTTGTGACTACAAGGTGCATTCGCGCAATCGATTTCGCTCGCCCATCGCACTCTTTTCTCAACGCAAACGTCTCTTATCCCAAATGTCAGATTAATTATCGGTCACTTATGGTGACCGAACACGCGCATTAAAAAGGCTACGAAAGGCTATACTTAAAAATTAATGAAACACAATGACAGTGTACATCGTCGGTGCTTCGAGTGGGCTTCGCCAAACTCCATCAATACGCATTTTCTCTCGCTGTGGAGGTTCGAATAAAAAATTGAGCTAAAAACAGCAACGAGGGGGGAGGGGGAAGGTGACAGGGGAAAAAGAAAAAGATGTCAAAGCAAACGGACACGCCGAAAGACGAGAGATATGAATAACTTTACGGGTGCGAAACTCGCGTCTTTCTCTCCATTTTCTCTTTCTTTATTCTTTCAACGTGCCGATCCTGGATCTGGTGAAACATCATTGATGAATGCTATTTCATTATCTTCTGACGACATTAAGAAGTACGTATATACTTAAATAAGATCTCAACGCGTTTCATAGAAAGCAAGAAAAAGGCGGGATCTCGGGAATTCGTGCGATTTTCCTCAAGTATATGATATTAAATCCATAAATAGAATCCTTGTACATAAATTTTTTTTTTTCAATAGAAAGAAAATTTCTCACAATAGAAATATTTTAATATGCTTCTTACGTGTCCTTAAAATACCGCTGAACAGACACCCTTAGTCGACAGGACTTTCTTCTGGTCAGAACGGCGTGGTTTGTCAAGCGGAACATCACGGTGTGACGAAAGGATTCTGCCCGGGTGGTATAGTGGGTGGGCACTTCTTCTACTTACCGATTCGATTTAATTCGCAGGAATTCCGACGAGACTTCGGACAGCATCGAGATTTATCGTAGATACGGTCTTTAGTATGTCGAGCGTTCTTTTTTCCCTTTCCACTGACTGTCCTTCTCCGTTAATCTAATTGCTATTTTCTCTTCCTCTTTCTCTCTTTATTCTCCCCCCCCCCTCTCTCTCTCTCTCTCTTTTTTCTCTCTCACACATTCTCACACACGCATACTCTTTAATATACTAAGGAGCATTAAGTAACTATCTTATCTCTGTCGAAAAATAGGACATCGTGTTCGCTACTCGATCATCGGTCCCGCAGTTCCTTGCTAGTCGCGCGTTTGCCTCGACTACTCTGTGCGCTTCCGAAAGATAAACTTTCTCCCGAAAGATAAATTCGTATACATATCTGGTAAAATCGAGTAATATTAAAAACATCGGCGAAGAAAACATCGACATTTGCGCGGAAGTCGCGTTCGCGTTTTCGAGAATTTGTAAGAATGAAGCGATCTCAATATCTCTATTTGACTCCATGCCATGCGAATTATTTTGCGAATCTTACTTCGCACTCACAATAATCATCTTAATTGCACTTCGCAATGACGTAGCCGAACATAATCATCGCTAAATCGACGTCAATCAAAAATCTCGTCGATACATATAATTCCGACACGGAATGTTTATAATAGCGATCGTAGCTAACATCTGTAGGATCCTTCCTCCGCTTATTGGTAAAAGCTAGTCTTTGATATTATAAAGAACACCATACGGTTATGCAATCGTGCATCTCATGGAATAAAATTCGCTTTCTCTCCTTAAGTTAATTCCTAGTCTTAAGCCAATGAACCATATAGATATCAATATATATGCTATATAAGCGAGTACTCGCAAGCAATGAAAAGGACATCTCGGACATGATGTACGTTTACTTCAAGATGATCATAAAGAGGATTTTTAAAAATCAAGAATTAATGTACAAAATATATTCTCCACGACGAACATTAGCAATTTCGTTTAAAATTATAATATCAATAATCAATTTTGTTTGAAAATATTGATATGTATAATAAAAATTGAATATAATTTGCACATGTGCATTTATATGCAGATCGACATTGATTTTCAAAAATGATTTTGATCATTTCTAACATTTCCTGAGAGTAATTGTTATTCGACGACGATCGAGCATACGATCAACAATCACGTTACACATCGATTGTCATTTCAATCTTGTCAATATCTCAGATGACGCATTCGTTGGAAACGAATCGTTAATAATTCACTTTATGGCAGCTTAAAGGTAATGATGTTAATGACTTTAGCGTTAAGAAAACGAAGAGAGAATCGGCTCCTGTGGAAAATGTCACGGCAGATTCGCGCGGAACGATGACGCGAATGCATCGTCGTCACATCTCAAACTACACACCGTACATATGATATAAAAGTTTTAATAACGTCTCACACGAGAACAAAGTAATATTGGCAAACAAAATTATACAAAATGGTTATACAGCCGCAATAGGCGGTTATCGATAAAAACAATCTACAAACAGTGACAGCACTTCAAGATAGTAAAGCTCTATTTTTACCGTTTTCTTCGCTTTTTCTTCGAAACAATCATGTCCCTGTCGGTTGTCTCTCGATTTTACTTCGGTGTATGCCATGGCTGTGAAACGTTCTGGATTCAACGTGTCTTTCGGACCGCCCCGTTATACGGTCCCCCGTGTGAAAAGACTCTCTTCGGGATTTTTATCTCTGCACGTTCGAGAGATACACGGAACAGTTAGGGGTACAAGGTAGTGTCACGCTCATTCTCGAGGAGCCTTCGAATAGCTCGCGTTTCCGACAAGCGAAACGGCAAGCGACAGGCTCCGAGCCTGTTTCTTTCTCCGTCATTCGTACCGTACTTCATTCGCAATTTTACGCGATCGCGCGCGCTTAGCTTTTTCTTCAGCTAAAACTTGCTTCTGTTCATCGCACTTCGCGGTTTCTCCGTAATTGGATTTTTTAAAAATTTAGGAAAAAAAAGCACCGTCGGGAGACAATCTGAATATCCAACCTGCGATAGACTTACGCAATAACAATGTCGTGCGCGCATAATCGACGGTCAATCAACCATGAAAGAGATCCATAATGAAGATTCGTCAGCAATGACGAAGCGGTTTTTTTTTCTTTTTCTACTTCTTCTCTCGTTGCATTTGGTCTTGTTTGACGTTTGGTCGGGCTCGTGCGGCAGGAACACAGGAGATTTCTCGTCAAGTGAGACTCGGAGTTTCGTCGCGATCACGTCATGTCATCTCAGCCGAGTCCAGCCCATTGCATGAAATCGGGAACTTCCCTCACGGGCACGTCCCTGGCCAGAGCCTTCACCCTGAGATTCCGGTCCTCTGTGAGCAGAACTACCTCCCGTCTCAAACGTCTCGGCTGTCCCTCTTCTGTTAAGGCAAAGGTCGTATCCCAATTTTTTTTTATTAAGTTCTCTTACGTAGAATCTCCCGCTACAAATTCATTTATTCTTGTCTCGAAAGTCTTTGATATAAATTAGCAAAATATTGCCTTTAAATAATCCTCAGTAATGTTATAAGAAAAAAAATTTTCATCTGAATATATTCTTTAATAAATCTAGGAAAGACTATTCTTTCCTGACTAATTTAGAATCCAGTATAGAAAAAAAGTATTTTCTTCTATAAAAAGTTTAAAATAGCATCGAATATATGACACATTTAATCATGAAACATGGGTGTATTAAGGATCTTTCTTCAGAAGAAATTTTTATCAATTCTATCATCACATAAACAGCAATTTTTGTATTAATAAATTGCTTTTTAAAATATTTTAAAGCTTAGAAGATTTCGTTCCTTCTCGTTCTGATTATTTTGAATGGGAAAACAATGTTCACTAAAATTTTGTAAAAAATTTTCTGAGAATTCTCGGATTTTCCAAATATTTTCAAAGTTTCAAGATGAAAAATTCTTTACCAATTTCAAAATAAGTTTTTTGAATCGGTTTGCAAGTAACGCAAACAAATTTATAAATTATAAATTAGTGGAAGGGATTCCACAAGACTACATCTATTATTTTCTACAAAAGTAAAGTCACAAAATAGTACAGTATAGGGAAGAGGCTTACTACAATAAACTCTCAGTGAGCTACTCTCTTTTGCTGAGTGTTATCTTCTATTATCACTTTAATTTTTACTACTACACTTTAATGCGATATAAACTTCATATCTACCTGCGTTTGCTTGATCTTTGTTGCTTCTGCAAAGACTGAGGCACGTAGTCAATATTCTATCGTCATTTCGTGTCAATCCATCCTAGAACAGAAGATGATAAAAATTCTGAATATGCTGAATATAACTCAGTAAATAATTACATTTAAATATAGTAGCAAATAGCTTAACGGAGAACCGATCACAGAAATTGGCATTAAAAAACAAAGTCTATTATTCAATCACGAAAATTATGCTAGCGAAATATAAGGCAACAAATCGCAAATAGTACAGAAAATACTTCGCACGTACACTACGTGGGTGTTCTCGGCTCGTTATCATAACATTCGCGCTTCAATCAACACCGTGCCTACTTTTCTTTGCTACCATTGGTCTTGGGAACGACTGATTTGTACTATACCGTGGCTACTTTCTGCGTGTAATTGTTAGAATCTTATCGACTGAATGTCACAATCGATTCGTTTTATCATGTCACTTTATCATGTCGTTGCACGCTGCAGGTATTTAGATATGAAATAGCAATGAAAATAATGATTCCTTAATAATTTACATATTCGGTATCGTAAATCGGTTATCAGAACAGGTTTTGTAATCGCCATACAATATTCGGAATTGCATTTTCTTCTTATAAAATGTAAAACATATTGATGTGACAATTGAAATTAAAAACGACAAAGTATTAAATTCAAAGATAATAGAACATAAATAATTAATTCTTCTTAGATTAAAGGAAAAAAGTAAGACGAGGAAGAAGGAAATTGTACAACACATCGATTTCATTTCCGACTCGCAATAACTTCAAAAATCTTATTCTAAGATTTTTAAATAAAAGAAAAGAACAAAGAATTGTTCATCAGAAGTCCTTCATCTCGCGATCGATGCAACTTTGGCTTCTAAATACCTCAGCATGCTGAATACAGTTATTTAAGAGGCGAATGTAAGCGTATCGAATGATCGAGGTTTGTCCAGTTTCTTACTTACCTTGTCGACATCTTCTTCCACCGTAAAAGTGCTGGATGTAAGAACGGTGCCTCTAGTGGTTAAACATCGAATCGCAGGATTTCGACTTCTCGCGAAGGCCAATGCCGCCTTGGCACTCTCGGCGACTCGCACCACATGCTCAGGATTCAGAGTCGCTCTCGACGCTGGAGGACAATCTCTCGCATCGGCGCCTCGAGCTAGACCTTCGAGTTCATTTAGTACTGTAACAAAAAACATTTCCACTCGTTAAGCACGCGTGAAAGGGACGTGTCGAAATTTACGTCGCGTGCACGAGAATACACAAAGGAATCAAGATTAATCTCTTCGAATTGATTATATAAATGTAAAAAAAGTGTATATCTTAATTTAATCCTTATAAAAGAGAAGAAAAGGAATTATGTACACACACACACAAAAAATTAATTTACTTATTATAAGACATTATAAGAATCATTATAATTCATGATAATATACTGCTCTATAATGCTTTAATATTGCACGTGAAAAGATAACAGTTTATATTAAAAATAGCAAAATTTTAGGAAATTTTAGGAAGGTGTAGAAATAATAAGCATAGAAAAGAGTCCCTCAATTTCATTCGTATGATTTATCAATGGTCGATGATATTCAAAAGGATTCGAAGATTTTTTCATAGACTTTTCTATTTTTAGTGTCAACCTCTACTCGCTACTCTCTTTTATATTTCAAACTTTTTCAAATAAGACACAATAACTTAAATTAAAATCTATTTATAAAATCCAAAGATTCAAAAGAAAAGTCTTGTGACTACTACTATCACGCCTACGCGACATGTTCATTCGACGAGATCGATCTCGTCTTCATGGGATTGAGGAAAACAGGATGGTGACATGCTGTTAAAGCAAAAGACCATCACAGCTGCGTTCAAAAGCCACTCTCCCCAACGATCGGCGACTGTACTGATATCGCCCACGTATAAAACGTAGCCAGGAGGCAACCCGCGGTACGCCGCTGCCATCGAGCTCCATCGCGAGCGTTTCAAGCCACATACATGCATTCATGTATGAGCCGTGAGAACCTAACTGTGAACGCTCACCGTTGCTCGCCATCCAAGAGCCAGACGGGCTCGTGGTCGGCCGACTGGCCGACGAGGTCAAAGGGCAGCACGTCGGCCGATTTTGCATGAAGGCGCACTTTCGTTTTTCGACCCCACGACCCGCACGGATGACAAAAAGGAAAAGGAGAAACGCACAAAGCACACAAGTAACAAGATTAAAAAAACAATTTTTTACTAAACGGTAAAGGTTCGATCTGATTATAAACTTTGTTACAATTTTTAATATATTCGTAAACCAAAAAGATTTTTTTCTTAATTGACAATTCTTATATTTAATTGATTTATTGTCTTTAGAAATTAATTTGATTAACTGACTTTTTTAACAGAATTTACAGAATCTTTAAAATAAAATAGAAAAATTTTTTTTTTAATTTCTATCAAAAGATGATATGATAAATTCAAAATACAATTTCGTTTCGCAGCTTATTTGTCATTTTCAATTTTTTATTTTCCCTGTCTACAGACAGACGCATTTTTTTCAGAGGAAAAGAAGAAGTAGATTATCATGAATGCTGTGAGAGAGCTTTATCAACTTTATTCGCCACAGATTGCCGCGCGAGAGCACACAGAGAAGCAATCTACGGAAAATGCAAATAGGAGGTTCACCAAACTTTCCCCGACTCGATAAATTAACCGCCTGCCAGCCTTATCCTCCTTCCAGACCCGACCCTCGACGAACTGGCAAGGGCGGTCGGTAGTGAAGTTTGCGAGACAGGGTGGACGGAAATAGAAAGAATAACTGCGGAGCGAGAGAATAGGGAAAACTGCATTATTTATTACCTAGGCCTGCAGACGTCATTTATCACTGTGCGATAAATATTCTGTTGCTAAAATATCGACATGTATAATAATCAATCTTTAAATTATACGCGTGTCCAACTAAAATAAATTAAAATGCTCCATATCAGCGGATACAATTTTAAAATCCAATCTTCTACTTTCTAAACTTTGCAATTCATAACGTTATTGAAATACTTTATGTGAATAATCTATTTCTTAAATATTCGCATATTAATTTTTAATAGATTTAATTTTATTTTTGCTATTTACTGTTTGCGTCCCTGAAGATGACTCGAATATCGAGATGAAATATTGGTTTTATTATATGTAGTTAGATTATTTATTAAATTTACATGCTAAGAATATATTATACCGTCTATTTTTGTGCACTTCTTATCGTATCAACTTCCACAGTCTTCTTTTTGAGTTCTATCATGTTTTAAAAATTCGTTCTATTAGTCCTTCTATTAGTGTTTTGCTCCACTTTCTCATAATTGTTTACTTTTAGATGAATATTTTTATATATGAAATAACGCAATAAAAAAAACCTAACAAATATAATGAGCCATGACTTTACGACACTAATCGATGATTATGATAATGCTTGTCAAAATCTTCAAAGCAAAACGTTTATCCTTGTTCTATCGCAATGGCCACGATCTTACCTAATAAACCGTTTTGGCATTCGAAGAGCTCTTCCACTAGAGTATGAACAATACGAAATAAGACGGACAGTGAACATAAGTTTCCGCAAAATGCCATGTCTGGATTGGCACCGTGAATCGATTTTGCTGAATCAACGATTAGATCAGCGTTAATTGATAATAGGGATGATGATTGATGAGCCTTTCAATTTTCAGCGGCCTTGAACCTTGACACCAGCCTTGTCTTCAATTGAACGCTAAAACAAGTATGTCACATACAACTTTCACGATCACCTCAAGAAACTATCATTCTGATATTTTTCAAAATCGTTCTTCACGTTATTTGTGCCTACATATTTTATTTAATTCAATAAATTAAATTATTACAACTCTGCTAAAGAAAATATTTATCTACACGTGAAAATCGAATACGCGTTCTAAGATAAATGTTCACAAAATGAATACATCACAACTGAGATTAAATAAAGGCTTGAGTAGTTAAGATGTACACGCTCGAGGCAATAAATGCTCCAAATGTCCGTCTTGTCGTCGTAGCAATAACTCTAGACGCATTACTATTATAAAGCACCGTGAAAATGTCAGCCTTACCGTGAAAGATTGTAAATTTATCGCTGATTGCGTTTCGCTAAGTAGCGAGTGTCTATAAACTGCGACTATTAAAAAAGAACCAGTCGTTCCGTCGTGCCATGCGTCATCATTGTTGTCATCATCATCGACTGTTTGACAGAAACGAGCGTTTTGTATGCATTATCATATTGTAAAAAACACATCAATTGGCGTATGACATATGATTTAACAATTCTATTACTGTGATAGCTTTTTACTTAATACCTCCAATTAAATCTAATTCTTGTAAAAGAAAAAGATATTTATAAAAGAAATAATTTAAGAATCTTTATTTTAGATATTATTTTATTTTAATTTTTTATAAAAGGAATAATTATTTTTAAAGTTTAATTGTGTATAATTATAATTTAAGAAATATAATTGCTAATCACAATGCTGAACTTAACGGGATATTTCCTCTAATTAATTAAAAATTACACATTTATATATATCTTTTCTGTATCTATTTTTCTTTATCTATTATTCTTTATGATATAATAATATATTTACCGCTATTTCCTCTCCCTATCGCATCAAATGTTTCATTAAATAATAATTAATATGCGAATAATAATTAACAGATCCTAAAGATGCAATTTAATATATCATTCGAGAATCATAAAATTTAAATTAATTACGAACTACTTGCGTATCACGCAAAGTTCCGCGTCATAACATTCTTTATGAACACAGACTCCGTCTTCTTCTCAACAAAAATTTTATTGAAAGCTATCATCAATTATAATGGTTTCTTTTTCAACATCAAATAATCCAATAATTAATTTGTGTGCACATTCCAATTCCGTTAATTCTAAAATGAAACAAATCTGTCCTGGGAATGTAAGTTCCTAAAGCTTGTTAAAAAGTTTATATACTTATTGTATACATAATTAGTGTACACTACGCGTATTAAAAAGTTCTATTAATTTTAAAATGAGATAATTCTACCTTGAAAATATAAATTTAGTTTGTAAAATAAATTCTTAATATTCAATAAGATTGGAACAAGACCGTTTATGTTAAATACATTATTTTAAATACGAAGCGCCACTATGATCTGAATGTTAAAATGTTGAACTATTATATATATATTCGTATAAATGAATTAATTTCAGAAATGATAACTCGCACGGAATGCAAAAGATCTGGATTCAAAACTGGGTTCAAGATTCAACTCCCGGCAATATTTGTCGCATTAAATTTATTACAGTTTTTTAAATTTGAGGGGATTATTAATATTCCAGATTAATTACGTTGAAAATTCGACAACCATATCAGTATGCAATTATCATTTCTTAGTTCAACATCTTAACATTCTTAATATTGTTTAGTTTATAAAGTCTAGTTTATAAAAAAATCAGAATTTATATAAATTATATACATAGCATAGCACATTGTATACATAGTATTGTGCATTGAAATTCTAAAATACGATAATTCTAGAAATGTAAACTTAGTTTCTAAAAAGCTAGTTTGAAAAAAATCAAAATTTATATAAATTATATATATATATATAATTTATATAATTTAGTGTGTGTGTGTGTGTGTGTGTGTGTGTGTGTGTGTGTATATAATATAGCGAGTACTGTTATATCTCCATAGCGGAACGCAATGAAGATATAACACGGCTTTAAATCAGTATGCTGTGGAGTGCTACGGATTTAACTGCTTCGAGCGCGACGATGACTTGAGACCATGATTTCGTTCGGGTCGTATCTCGATGTGAGACCGTTAAAGGAAATGCTCTCCGACAATGCGCGCGACTGATCGACGGCGTTCGAAAGGAATTGCTCAACACTAATTGGAGCGAAGGAATCGACAACGGTTCGCATTCCTCAATGTCATCATCCTCCAGGAGCTGACGCAAGCGCCGTTAATAGCCGTATCGGTCGGAGTTCGATCCGGCAAACGGCTCCCGCGATCGAACAAAGCATTTCGCGCCAGGGATATATGGGACAATCCATTCTCACGAGGACGAGGGGGCAGGAAAGTTCTGCGACAAGTGACGCGTAATGACTATGACCTAATGAACTATTCTCCGCTAGGGATCGACAAATCGACTGTCTATCGTCGACGGTCTCCAGCTTCGCTTAACGTCGGAGACGAAGCAAATCGAGTATGTTTGCGTACCGGCGATTGCTTTGACCCAAGGCGCGACCTCCGACTGGTCGCGTCATTTCTCTTCGATGACATTATCTAGACACAACCCTTGAGAAGGTGTGTTCGGTCATTGTACAGTTTTTAGATACTTCATAGATACGTTCGATGCGCCGCCAATAGCTGATTACAGTATTATAATAACCGATTTAATGTGCACAGTAATTGTGATAAAAAAATATAGATAATTCGAGTAATGTATTCGAGTAATGAGAGTACAATTAACGTACTCTCTAAAACTTTTGGTGTAAATCTCATTTTAAATCTCATTTTAAACAATGAAATCTCATTCTTAAAGATTAAAAACTACAGCTCTTTTTCAAGTCTGCTCAATTTCCACTCCAAAGAACTTAGAGAATATATGTAGAAATGAGAATTAGTCAATTTTTTTTGAAAGATTTTTATATTTGATGAATAATCGTTTTTTAATCCTAACTTCTTCCTAACTGTCATCTTTTCAGTTTGATAAATAGATTATTTTTTATTATTTTATTATTTTTTATTAGAGAATAGATTATTTTTTTATAAAGAGATGAACGTAACAGTGTAGTGACGAAATAGAGCAATAGAATTTACAATATTTGACAAATTGAGATTCTCTTCTATTTTTGTTTATCCGATAAAGATGAATGATGTTATAATACAATTTGTCTCTCTGTTTATTAATAGTTATTCCACGCGTTTTTGAAGATAGGAAAAAGTTTTCCAAATTATATTACTGTGGAGTGTAACATATCCATCTTCTTTCAAGACACTCGATCTTTAATCAAAAAATGATGGACGAGATCAGAGACCAAGCGGTGCACGTATCTTTCGCTGGTCTTTTTCCTGCGCTAATAATATTAAACTTTTGTTTTCACTTACCAACGAGTGGCACCATGAGAGTGTAGATTGGCTGCGCGCCGGAAATGGCTCTCGCGATGATCTGCAATTGCTGTAGGTAATCGATGAAGCAATTAGTGTCTGGCACCAGCTGTCTCGGTCGCACCTCGATTTCTACCGACACCGAGGACTTTTGTAAAATAGCCTAAACATATACAAATATGACACATATATTTCAATAATATCAAAATAGAAATAAATTTCAAAATTTTAACGGACTCAAATAATATCGTCTCCCTTTTTTTTTAAAATAGTCGAATATATGGAAAAGATTCTCAAAAAGAAAAAATAAAAAAAAATATCATTTTAACAAAAGTAATTAAAATAAATATCAATAATAATAAATATCAATAATAAATATAATAATAAATATCAATAAATTTGTCAAAATATTATTTTGACAAAAGTAATTAAAAATAAAATATAATATTAATAACGTTACAAAAATATATTTTTAAAATACTTAATAATTAGAAATATGATTATAATTAAAGAGGACGACATCAATGTGACGACGACACTTGAATTTCTCTTTTAATCCTAAATTTTACCTCAATTTTCCGTTATTGTATATAACGAATCTAAATCTTTTTAAAATCAATAAAATCAAGAAAATTTCATAGTTGAGTAATCGTCTCAATCTACATCCATCTTCGTGATTCTCCTCCTTGTCGGAGAGAAACGTACTGCATCTCCATACGCATTGCATGCACCTTCCACCGAGAGAGAAACAAAAAACGAGAAAAAGAGGGAAAGAGAGACAGACGCGTGTGCATGCAGCGAAAGATGCAACGGAAGACGCATTATCTTCCAATTGAATCCCACGTATGCGGATGGTGCTTGGTGAGAGGCAGTGGCGCGCACCGAACAATATCAGCTCAGCATATAGCGTGAATGCCAAATAGCCATTGTCGTAACAGAAACTACGGACTATAATGAGGCCTCTAATATTGTTTTGACGATGATCGATACACATCGTTGACCGCGAATTCATTTATAAAAAAAAAAAAACATGAAAACTGCCTTCAATAAAAGAGCTAGTTTCAAGATATTGAGCAGCTTCATTAAAATTCAGCAAAGTATTCAGTACATGTGTTATCTCGGTTCATTAACATATTCTCAGTGACGATTTAAGGTATTTACCGCTGTCTACGATTTTCAAGTGGAATAATATATGCAAAAGTAGAATACATTAGTCATGAATCTTCTCTCACTTTCTATTTTGCGATATTCTTTATGTAATCATTATTTAAAAGCAATTTACTGACTAAATAATCATTGAAAACGTAATAATACATAATTTGAAATATGAAAAGAAAAAAATCTCTGAAGATATTAGTCATCGAATTATTTATCCATTAATCAAGTCTTTAAAATGAGTTCTCCCAAAAATTTTTTCTCCAGCAGATCTGAATTTTATAAATATAATTAATAAACACAAAATTTCTTTCAATAAATTTTTTAATAAATTAAAGTAAATAACATAAACATGCTTTTCCTCTTTTCCTCTTTTCTTGCTCGATACCAAACATTTCTTTAAATCCTTGAAAGACCGAGAGGTCTCTTAAAACGATCCTGCAATAGTCAGCGCGAATATATTCGCAACGGTATCTCAAGAATTATTCAATATCCAGAAACTCTACTCAATATTGAGGATTTGGTTTCGCACTAATGTTCGTGCGATGGCACGTCGCACGAGTCGGCGAAAAGCATGCGGGGAATCCGAAGACGAACCTAATTGCTTGCGGGGGTACGTGGATGGAATGCAAAACTAGGAGAGATCGTGCACACGCGACATCACCAAGCAAAGCCACGTCGAGCCACACTACGTCGGTGTGCAAATGTCATACACGTGTCCACGAGATTTCGATCTTTATTCTCGTCCTCTTGACATGATACATTCGCATGTTCCCATTCCGCAAAGAGTTAATAAATAGTCGGCAAATCACCCATTTCATTTTTCGACAAACTCTGGATAACGAGGGTACGAAATTAAGTTATTATAAAATAATCGTTTTCTCGATGATACAGATATATATATCCTTCTAAGAATTCATTTTTAAATACCAATATATGCATGTATATTATATATATTGAGTTGGAAAAAAAGCCAACCCAATTCTGCAGATTTTTGTGCTTAAAATTATATATACAATATCTTCGTCAAAAATAAACAAAATTTAAATTTTAAAAAAGGATTTTAAAACTTGAGATCTTTAAACTTTCGAATGGTTACTATTTTTTTAATTTGTGTGAGTTTT